GCAAGAGTAGTGATCTACTGTCAATGGAAATTGATGAGGGTGTTTTAACATCTGTCGCTGTATCTTCTGAGCCCTTATATTGTGGCCTAAGTGTTCTTTCCAATGTTATTGTGGAAACCCCTACCGAAAGCTCACAAATGGGCTCAGGAGATCAAGGTGCTGCTACGATGCTTAAACTTAATTCAAAGAATCAGGATGGTGTGATGCAAGCTGCAAACAGAACCAAAAATCCTGGCCTTGATCCTGAAAGTGCACCTTCAGGTTTCAAGTACCCTGAGTGTCTGCACCATGTTCCAATTGAGGTGTGTACGGAAAACCCTATAGGTGTCAGTGTACCACGAGGAAATCCAAATTGTCATACAGAGGCCAAGTCTGGAAATTCTCTTGTTGGACAAGCTGTTGAAACACATGGCTTGGGTTGGCAATTTTCCAAGGAAAATCTGGAATTGAATGGGAGGCTTCAGGTTATAGGCCATGTAAACCCTGAGCAGAATGGTCAACTAAATTCAATCAATGCAGAATCTTGTCAAATTCCCCAGAGATCAGTCACCCAAGATCCGAGCAGGATAAGTAGGTCAAAATCTGATTTGATTGTGAAAACACAACGTACAGGTGAAGGTTTCTCACTCAACAAGTGTACTAGTTCAGCTCCTAATTCTCTGACAGTATCCCATAAAGAGGGCAGATCTGGTCATATCAGGAGCCATTCGTTTAGTTTGTCTGATACTGAGAGACTCGACAAGAATGGAGATGTGAAGTTGTTTGGTACCGTACTTACTGCTGATGAGAATGGAATAAAACAAAAACACAATCCTGGCGGAAGTGTCAGGTCATCATCAACCTTAAGCAGAGACCATGATACAAGACATCATTACATTAATCAGCAACACCTTCAGAATGTTCCTATTACGAGTTACGGTTTTTGGGATGGCAACAGAATACAAACCGGGCTCACATCTTTGCCAGAGTCGGCCAAGTTGCTTGCAAGTTGCCCTGAAGCATTTTCCACGCATCTTAAGCAGCAAGTTGGTAGTAACAAAGAGATTCGGCGGGATGTTAATGGTGGTGGAATTTTGAGCTTTGGGAAGCATAACGAAGATAGAGCAGAGGCCTCAAGTGCAAAGGATGGAGGTAACATAGGAGGGGTAAATGGTGTAGCAGAGGCAGCCACGTGATTTAAAAGCTTCTTAGGGTCATGATTAGTTTGTTTTGGAGGATTGGCATATTCTTTGTTTGTCCATCCTATCTGTATTATATCTCTTTAACATCTTTTTCTTTTAATTTAGAATGTCAGTTAATATAGGCATTTTTTTTTTTGGTTCAGCTTAAGTTAGGTGCCTGCAGAAAATTCATAGCTGATGGTTGTATTTGTAATATTACTGATAATAACAGAGAGAGCTAAGAGCTAAGAGCAAAGTAGCTCTTAGCTCTCTGTATGTTTTTCAAGAAGGATAACACTTGATGAACAAGGATGTCTAATGTTGTACAGTAAAGAACTAATTCAACTTAACTTGCTGGAGGATAAGCCTTTTTCCTCAGCCTCAGAGCTTGTTTGGAGAATTGGTGGTAGCGGGGCTACAATTTTTACTACCTGCAGAATGGTAAGGACATGAACAATCGGATGGTTTTAAACATAAAAACTGAGATCTGGTAAAAAGCTTGTCCACTTTTGCAAAGATACCAACAGATCCTGACCACTGAGGCTTTAAGTATGATCTACAAGAGTTACCTGATGAGTGTTCAACAGGTTAAGTAGGTCTACTTGATGAGCATGCAGATAATATCCACAATCCCCAGGAACAGGCTGATTTGGCCGTCTGTAACCCCTGCAATGTAATTCAGCCATAGTGCATTTATCATTTCAATACCATTACGACACCAGCCATATCAGATAACAGCATCTTACAGACCAATCTATACTCCATATGAAACTACCTATTAGATTGCATCGTACTACATTGGTCAGCTCGAATATTGCTCATTTTCCAAAGACTGTACATCAAATGGAATATAGAAAATGTATTTAAAGAATATAAGTAGGAAGAAAAGTGATCCAAGTTCATACCCATCTTCGGCAAAGGCAGCATCATCAGCCACAAGATCTGTATCAAAGCACTTTGGTTGTCCGCCTGCAACATACAGAGGGTCACCTGCAATGTCATCAGAGTAAGCTACCAGTTTCTAAGTTTCATGTTTGCTGACATGCACTGAGATCCTACTAACATTATGTGTAGCAAAAGTCATCCTAGACTATGCTATAAGCATCTCATGTCCAAGACTATGCCACAAGCATCTCATATCCTAGACTGCAACTATATGTAATATGGCTTACAATTGTAACTAGTTGAATCATCAAGTGGGAGTAAGGCCTGTTATCTATCAAAGACCACTCTAGCCTTTCAAAGCTACGAATCCAATTTTACTTATTTATTACAATGAAGGACCATAAATCCACAAAATACCAGCTCAAAACGTGTGGTAGACCTGACGGAAACAAAAGTTTTTACCTATCAAAGGATGGCCGATGTATGCAAGATGAATCCGGATTTGATGTGGTCTTCCAGATTGTATTTCTACCTATTTTGCATAGAAACAGGTGACTGTGGGAACTTTGTTTTGGTCTTACTATCTTATTCACTTTCTACTTTATCGTTCTGTGATATATGATATTAGACATAAGATGGAACAGAAGAAAACCTTAACTAGCGTGCAACTTTTTTCCCTGTCCCTCTCCAGAACTACTACTTTGCTGAAAGCAGGTTTGCCTGACAAAAAGAAAAAACTAGGTAAGAAAACAAAAAGCGCTATAGTGAGAACAAATTATATTTAGCGAGGATTGTCCTGTTGCTCTAGTTAATGGTATAATATAGTAGAACTAACCTTCCGGGGAAGCAACATATAATCCTTTTGCAACCCCAGGATATCGAACTACTCCGATAGGCTGTTGGATTACTACCTTCAAAATGTAAAATAAAGAAGGTGCATGTCCACAGATGCTATCTCAGTTGCATATTTAGGTATATTCAAAATGAATTCTCAGCGCAAACTATATTATGGCCTTGCCTCGTCTTCTTCAACTATACCATCTGCCAGTGCTCGATATATCTTTGAAAGTTTTCTTCCGGTTCCACAATCTTGATCCAGGTTACTGTACGAATAAAAACTTTAGTCCCTAAGAACGTAGTGAGAAAACCATATAGATTAGACCAAGGATCTTTTTAAGAATGAGCTGGGACAAAATTAAGCCAAAAATGATGTTTGAACTCACCCAGACCCGACAAGAGATGTTCCCTCAGCAAAATAAGCTGCCAGTTTCGTTTTTGCAAGTTTTGTCTTGGCGCAGAGAAGTATACCTAAGAAAAAAAACCATCCGCTCAAATAAATGAAGTAAATTGAAAACCACATATCTTACCAACTTTCTAGTAGAAAGATATCAATGTAGAGAAGCTTTCACGATGGTTTAACTGACAAGTTCAGCGAATAGTGCAACACTTATTGAGGTGCCGATAATACTAGCATCTTAGCTGGTCTAATGAAAATTCTAGAGACTAACCTGATGTTCCTCTACCTAGTCGATGTACAGGGACAGGGTGTGATTCAGGAGATCCCGTAGAAAAATCTTTTTTACCAAACCACCACTGCAACTGCGTCAACAAAGTCCGTTGCTGGAAAAGTCCTCCTGGCAATACTTGAAGTCCAGAAGGCTTGTTCAAAGCGATCTGCATTATACGAAATCGACCAAATATACACACATCATTGCAAGTTGAGAACAAAGCTAAGACAGCAAAATGATATTACAATACCAAACTTAATCTGGAATTCCCAATCAACAATGAAAGATGTCATTTAGTATAGAGCAGAATATAAAATGCACACCAAAAGAAAAGCAAACAGGAAGCTGCATAGGTTTGTTACTTGTATATATCAGCAAACAAAGGAAACAACTTTCAAAAACTCGATAAGAGTCTTCTATGTTTTGTTCAGAGCGGGGTAGTTACCAAATCATCGTCTTCATACAAAATTTCTAGAGAGTATGGCGTGTCAGGTTCCTTCCAAGGAAGCCTATGGTAAACTAACTTCGAACCACTCCTGAGACAGAAACAAAGATGAAACACCTTTAACAAAAGCTAAACAACTCGTAAGTGTTCAAATCAATGTAGTAAGAAAAAAGAACTTGTTAGCTGAACCTAAGAACTGTTTTGGGATCTTTCACAACTTCCCCATCAATTTGTATCTGCAAATACGAGAAATGGAATCACAAACTCTCCAGACTCAAGCGAGAAATTTCCGTGAAAATGTGTGATAAAGAGCAAACCTGTCCGTTCTGGATTCGTTGAATCCACCTGGAAAATAAAGAAACTTAAAGAATGAAACGTAAACACAACATTGAAGACAAAGAGTAGAGGAAGAAGATTAAAACCCAAGCAATGGAGCTGAGCTCTTGTATTTTGTGAAGTAGAAATCTGACACCGTCGTTAACTCTGTATCACAAAAATCCCACAATTTCAAAAAAAAAAACAATCAAAGTTTTAGTATCCTGAAGCAATAGTGTCAGACCTGACTCAGAAGATGAGACGACATCCTTGTATTCCAAACCGTCGTTGTGCTCGGGCCATGGCAATCCGATACGTTGCTGCGGCGGCGACGGCGACATCATAACCGGGACCAACGGTGTGAGATTTTTCTTTTAGCTTTTACGTCTTTACAAATCAAACGAAATCAAAAACCCAAAAATTGAAGGATTATTTATTGAACCAAACCGAAACAGACCAATCCTAACCTTATAATCACATCTCATATACTCAAACTCGGTTTATTCAAATCTTTTGATAAACCAAATTTCAAGAGCTTTTTTAACCTTTTAGCTTATGACTTATTATGAGTATAAAAAAGAACACTGAAATTTTTTTTGGTTGGATAGTATACTCGAATCCAATTCTTCATATAACCTTTTTACTTTGTTGGTGAAAAGTTTCTTATAGCACAAGTAAAGCCACAACTTTTAATAAAACATAACTAGAATAGACTTGTTAAAATTGTGAAAGGTTTAAGGCATACTATTGAACGAACCTTTCATTTCTTATTATAGTCATGAAGAGCAGTTACCATTAAAGTAACTAACTAGGCTCAAACCTTTACTTGAAAATTCGATATTATTAATCCAAAACCTGAAACCCCCTTTTTGACAAAACCTACTAATCCTGTGGGGCTTTCTTGTACTCAGGCTTCAGCTCATAAGTTCCTTGGTTGCTCCCTTTGTTGTTGTATATGCAAAGATCTCTCAGCAAGTCTTTCAGGAATTGCTGCGCCAGCCAAAATCCACATTCGATACCATTACTCATTAGCACAGAAACTGTGATTGTTTAGTATTTGCTTTTTTCTTTCTCTTTTGAATCTCTCAATCAAGAACTATACAAAATGTCTGCAATTTCCTTCTACTTACCTCTGGTTGGTCCGTTTCCTGAATGAGCTGCCTCAGAGTCCAATTTGATTGTCTTTCAAATAGATTAAACATGACCTCCTCCATCTCTCTACGGTCCCTTCTTGTTCTCTTCATTTCCGATGTCCTATTTGTCAATTTCTTCTTTTCCTGATACAAAAATCAATGACTTGTAAAAAATTCAAGATCCTTAGCAACAGTAATGTGTGTATCTTAGTTGGGAAAGATAAGTACAGGAGCCGCGGTTGGGATAATCATTCCTGGCATTGGCCTCATATGCATTCCTCTGGCATTATCAATGACCTGGTCAAGAAACCAGAAACATGATCATGGAAAAATGCACAAGAGGTTTTGTTTGAAACTCCAAGTCGCCACATTTGATTTTTAACCATCTTTACAACAACCTGGATCTGTCTATTTTTGCCCATATACTTGTTTGTTCTTTCACGGCACAATCTCCCATAGCTCTCGATGTTCTCGTTATAAGGCCTCATATCAAATTTGTGCTTAATCCTCCCTTCTACTGACATCTTTCCTACAAAAGAACATTGTTGAATAAAATCTACACAACTGTCAAACAAAATTTGTAAATGAACAGACCCAAGGATCCGAAATCTTACTAATGTAACTACAACAACAAAGTTATGAGAATGCCAATTATTCAATGCAATCCACATTTCTAACTAACGTAACTCGAGATTCATGCCATAGATGAACAAACCGTTGTAATATAATTTCGGAATACAGTAATGTGTGGAGAAGTGTTCTACTTACCATCTGAAGATTCACAGAAAACACTCATGGGGACGAAATCTTTAGACATATCTAAGGTGTAACGCCTTGGCATGTTTCCAGATTCAGCTCGAGCTAATTCCATAACGAACTGTGAAGCCAAAGAGTAACATGTTTTACACACAGTTTAAGTGACTTGCAAGAAAGTTCACATAGAGCAAACTCAAAAATTACTAAAGACAGCATCTAGAGGCAACAGAGAAGATCTCTAAGTAGCAGAAATGGGTTTTTTTATCACTAACCCAAATCTCAAATTCCAGAGAATTCTATGTTACTGACCTCTGATCAAAGTGAGGACCACTCTATATCTCCAAACACAGGAAAAATAAAAGCAAGTTTCTTAGAGGATGAAATTTTCAAAAATGGTAAAACAAATCCCCGAATAGAGTAATCACCCCAATACCCCATTGTTGAGGAAGAATTAACAAACGAGATACGCATGCAGTGATGATAGAAATGGGCAGGAGGGGAAATGCAAAGACGAAAACATACTTTGGTCTCTTCGTCTTCGTGAGCGATAGGATCGACGCTGAGGATGATTTTGGCGTCAGGACGGTACGGATCGTCAGGAATAGGAAGAGATTGGAGAGAACGAGCGACGAGAGAAGGAGCTTTCATCAGCAACATCGATCTCTCTGCCAAACCCGTTTCCAAAGCCTCATTCTCAATCTTCTTTACCTTAAATTCTACCTTCACATCTTCCATTTCTCAGACTCTGACAGAGATTAAGAGACGATAGAAACAGAGGAGCTTTTATATACTAACTTAAAGCTTCCCCAGTTATTGCAAAATTTAATTATTAATTAATCTCTCTTTACGTAATCATAAATAAACCAAATTGAATCACAAAGGCAAACGCTTTATTTATAGATTGCATTTGTCAATGTTTAAGTACTTAGTAGAATCCAGACACTAGAGAACGACTACTACAAAAACGTATATACAAAGGAGATTCATCTCATTGAAGATTTTTCTGTTTTCAGGTCTTGTGTCCTCAGAAAGCAATTGTGGATCACGAGCGTGACCGCTTCGAGTTTCGCTCAGCTAACTTGGTGGTCGCATTTCGTTTGTTTGAACCCTCTTTCTTTGTCTCTTCCTCTTTCTTCTTCTTTATTGTATTCTCCAACGCATCCTTCACAAAGAACTTTAGCCTCCATAGTGTTGGTTCGTCCTGCATACAAATAAAAAAAAAAAGCTAAGAAAAACGAAAGAGACTCGTGTTCGAACCAGAAAACACTAATGACGGTGGCTTTTTTAGTAAGAGATTTTTACCAGTCCGTCCATCTCAATATTCACTTCTTCTGCTCTAGATTGGAAGCTCGGGTCAGCTTGAGCAACTATAGCCAACACTTTCTGTAGATCTTCCGGAGACAGTTTCAACAATCCCAACCCAATATTACGCTTCTCCTCAGTTGTGATTTTTCTGTTAAAATCGGTACTGAGTAAAAATGACATATTTACCAGAGAACCGAAAATAAATCAAATTTACTGAGTAATTAGGCCAACCTGCATCTTTCCACAACTTTACGCATTAGCTTCTCCAGCTCGTCATTAGCATGGCAAATCTGGACAGCAATATATGGGTTTATTAGTAAAGAGGTTAAAAATACAAAAAGGTTACTGATATCTGAAAAAATTAACCTCATTGCTCAAGTCTCTAGTTGTTTTGATATGAGATGCTTCTTTTGCTAGCAGCGCCTCTGTTGCTGCTTGCTTCTCCTCTTCCTCCCGTATTTTCTCCTGTAATCAATTATGTTAGGAACTTGGCGAACATAAAAAACCTTGGTGCTAACCTAAATGAAGATAATATGGTGAGAAAGATAATAACATATTAATGTTACCTCTTCTTGGACCTTTGGAAGAAACTGTACCCATTTCTCCTCAAACTTTTCTAGTAACTTTTTTGCCATAGAGAAAACATCACTCGTTTCTTCATTATAATTCATAGCGTTCTCAAATACTAACCGCATATCGGCATATATTTGCATAACATGTTTGTACCCAGTACCATCCTTAGCCTCCATTTGATTCTTTATTGTGCTGAAGTCCATAGGCTTGTCAATAACCTACAATCAGATCAAACATGTAATAAACAGACCCCCTTACAGAACAAAAGACAATCTCATAGCATGGAATGTAGACCGAGGAAAAACACTTCACAAAATCTTAAACATATTCACAGAGCAAAACATAGTAGTTTATTTTTGATAGAATGTGTGCACAAGTTCAACCTGCATTGATCACTAGCTTTCTCTACAGTTTCTCATTAACAGTAGACTTAGTCAAGTAACTGGTTTCTAGTTCATCCTAACAAAATATCTGAACACAGATATCTTATACGAGAATAATAGATACATGGTGGCTAAGACAGAAATTTTATAGAGCGTCTTACCATACCTAAGATACCCCCACGATATTTTGGTTACTCTAATAGGCAAAAGCTATCTAGTCAGATGTACACTGCTATACCTTAAGAATATATTAATAAAGAAAGGTGAAATTGTGGTAGCTCTAACATGCAAACAAGGTTTGTTTAATCAATTGTAAAGTCAAATCATATGTTGTACCAAAAGAAGATCAAAAGGTGAATTTTGGTAGCTGTAATAAGCAAAATGGCATTTTAGTGAGCTTGAACAAGAGAAGAAATCAACAAAGAAATTTGAAAGCTGAGACGAAAAACGTTACCTCAAAGTAGTCATGCAAACCAAGACCTTCTACATTGACAGGATGCATAAATGGCCATGCACACTTATGCTGAGTTATCTGAAAGAAACAAAAAAAACTCAAACCAATAATTTAAAAAATCTTCCTGAATACATAAACGCCAAGATCAATTCAGGTGTAAAGATGATTTTACCTGACGGAAGATAGTTCCGAACTGACGCATAAGGTCCTGCATTCTTTTAGCAGCAACAGCTTCTCTACGAGCCGCCTCTTGTTGAATCTTCCGAATCCCCACAACTTGCCTCCCTTTATCTGCATCTTTACCGCTAGAGCCAGAGTTTGAGACACCAATGCTCGAGTAAAACTCCTCTACTTCTTTCAATTTGTCCTCAAGCTGCAATGAGAAACCATTAACCATCCACTGAATCAACATCACAAATCTATCTATGACTATGTCTCATCAAAATCAATCCAAAGCATAAAAAAAAAAAAAAAAAAACAGACCAGTGATATGAAACTTATTGTGCAGAATAGTCACACTAGATACTGTAAAACATGGATTCAAAGCTTAACAAACAGAGCAGGAAGAAGGAATCATAACGATGTAATAAACCAAATTGAGTATCAACGAAGACAATGCTATAGATGTGACATCAGGAGCGAAATAACACAAAGCCAAGAATTATTGAGATTATATATTGTATCTAGAATCAAAGCTGTAAAAGAGAACACTATATTACCGAATCAACCCAATTGATAACCTCATCGAGGCGCTGCTTGATACACTCAGCCTCGACAGGGAGCGCCTGAAAATCTCCGCCGGAGATTTGACCTAACTCTGGCACTGAATCAGCCATAGTTTTGCAGGTTCTCTTCTCTCTCACTGTGGAGTCAAGGACCAACGAACCAGAGAAAAATCCTCGCAAGAATTATGCCAAAATTGAAACAGAAATTTGCCAATAATATGTTGAATTGAACTACTTGTCGTTTATTATATTGCAAAACGACATATTGTGGTGAACTTGATAAGCACGCTGAGTCAAAAATATAAATTAAAGGAAAAATAAAAATAATAAAAAATCAACGGGGCGTTCCGAGAATTGAACTCGGGACCTCTCGCACCCTAAGCGAGAATCATACCACTAGACCAAACGCCCTTATTGGTTACATGTAGATATTTATAATATTTCTAATTCGTGCCTTGGAAATTAGGATATGCAATCCAGTTAGTCCAACCAGCCAGATAAAATTCAGTTCAGGTTATAGAAACATCAAAAAACATGTCTTACAAATCCATTAATACAGAAAAAAAAAAACTTAAAGTACACATTTCTCATATCATAGGCCAATTTAAGTTAGTTTATGTACTTGATTATATTAAACTCGGATAAAGGGATAAAGTAGTTTTATAGTCCAACCACCGACACACTTAATAAACGTGCAGTCCAGTCCATTCACTTCTTCTTCTTCTTCAATATCCATGCCGTCATATCTCAAACTCGAGTCATATAATTATAAACCAAAGAAGACGAAGAACGTAACAGAAGAACACAATAATACAATGTTTTTGTGTTTAAAAGCTGGAATATTAAATTCTAGTTTGAGATATGATTGGCATGTCAATTCAATTTTGAAACCTACCAAAGCACTCAAAAACAAATACCAGTTCGTTACACAAGGGACACTTGAAGTTGAAAGCAACCTCCCAATAAACACAAGTGTTATTAAAACTAATAAAACTTTTTACTAGTTTTATAGAATAGTCCAACTAAGAAGAAAAGGTCTATTTTATACTTTTTATATATAACCCTTTTGTCACGGGCACTGTTTCATTCCCTTGGACCCCTTCTTCTTCAAGATCTGTTTCTTCCTTCTTTTTCTCTACCAGATTTTTTGTACCACACCAGACAGATCCCTTCACTTCCATATCCTTTTTATCTTCCTTTGTCTGAACCCTTACAAAAGACTCTCTCTCACTTTCATCTCTTTTGGAGACATTTTAGAGTTTTTTTTTGTTTTTTTTTTTTATTAGTTTTGGATTTCTCTTCCGGGTTTTTCAATAATTGTCACTTCCCCAAGTGTAAGTACGCCGTACGCGTGCATACTACGCAGTTACACAAGTGTCTATGTGTGTTTCTGTGCCTTTAACTGCATTTCTTAAAACTGAATTTATTTCTCTCTCAGATTCTTGAGTTTTTTTTATCTACAGAGAGGAACATCTTCAAAGTTTGGTTTTTTCTCCGAGTTTTTTTGTCCTTCAAAAAAAACTTTGGTTGCTCTCTCTGTTCAAGAAGATCCTAGCTTGATTTATAATTTGTGAGTTCTATACATTCCATTTAAAAGCTCGGATTTTTTATGTATTCCTGAATTTAAGTTGTATCAATCAATGTTTCCTCTAATGCTCTAGATTCAGGTTAAAATATTAAGTCTTGATGTTCTTAGGTTTATCTCAACAATGTATATCAATATGGGTCATGAATTTTCTTACATTTGCAGATAAATTTGAAAAGAAGAAACTAAAAAATGGGTAAGAGTTGGTTTTCAGCTGTGAAGAAAGCCTTTAGTCCTGAACCTAAACAAAAGAAAGAACAGGTATTTTGATTCTTCATATTAGATTCTTCACATTTTGTTGTTGTTGTTTACATCCATAAAGACAAATGTACCTTTGATGTAATTGTAAAATTGACACTGCAAATGGTATATGTTTTTACTCTATTAGAAGCCACATAAAGCCAAGAAATGGTTTGGTAAATCCAAGAAGTTGGATGTTACCAATTCTGGTCAAGCAGATTCCTCTCGTGCTGTCAAAGACGCTAAACTAAAGGAGATTGAGGAGCAACAGAGCAGACATGCTTACTCTGTCGCTATTGCTACTGCTGCAGCTGCAGAGGCAGCCGTTGCAGCTGCTCAAGCTGCTGCTGAAGTTGTTCGTCTCTCTGCATTGCCACGTTTCCCTGGAAAATCAAAAGAAGAGATCGCAGCTATCAAGATTCAGACAACATTTAGAGGATACATGGTAACGTTTTCTCTTCAACACTTTTTCCAAGTTTAGCAACTGTAAGAAGTTCATACTTGTTGGTTACCTTTTTTCAGGCAAGAAGAGCATTGCGTGCGCTGAGAGGACTTGTGAGGCTAAAATCTTTAGTTCAGGGGAAATGTGTGAAACGTCAAGCCACATCAACATTGCAGAGCATGCAAACTCTAGCTAGACTACAATATCAGATTCGTGACCGGAGGCTTCAGTTGTCAGAGGATAAGCAGGCTTTTACTCGGCAGCTCCAACAAAAGCACAATAAAGACTTTAATAAGGTAAGCAAAACCCCTGCAATATGTTATAGATTTTTTTTACAAACTTTACTTTTTCTTGATTCACATTGTGTTCTTGGTTTCGAAGTAGCCTGAGAAGAGTAGAGTTTGTTTCTTGCTAAAAACTTTAACGATTAGTACTACACTTTGTGAAATAGCTTGGAGAAAATTGGGATGATAGTACACTGTCGCGGGAGAAAGTTGAAGCAAACATGTTGAACAAGCAAGTAGCAACAATGAGAAGAGAAAAAGCGCTTGCATATGCATATACTCATCAGGTATCAAACTAGTGTTCTATCTTACTGATCTAGTCTGTCTCTACACCAGAATAATAATGAATCTCAAAATGGTGAAAACTGTAAAAATGCAGAATACATGGAAAAACTCAACTAAATTGGGTTCTCAGACATTCATGGACCCTAACAATCCACATTGGGGTTGGAGTTGGCTAGAACGTTGGATGGCTGCTCGACCAAACGAAAACCAGTCAGTCACACCAGACAATGCTGACAAAAACTCTTCTGTGAAGAGTGTAGCAAGCCGTGCCATGTCTGAGATGGTTCCACGGGGTAAAAACCTTTCACCAAGAGGAAAGACACCAAATAGCCGAAGAGGATCAAGCCCGAGAGTGAAGCGAGCCCCAAGTGAAGACTCAACGAGCGTGTTGAGTATCCAGTCAGAACAACCTTGCAACCGTAGGCATAGCACTTGTGGATCAGTTCCATCAACTCGAGACGATGAAAGCTTCACCAGTAGTTTCTCCCAGTCAGTTCCAGGCTACATGGCGCCTACACAAGCGGCCAAAGCAAGAGCTCGGTTCTCAAACCTTAGTCCTCTAAGCTCCGAGAAGACAGCGAAAAAGCGACTTTCCTTCTCGGCATCTCCCAAGACTGTAAGGCGGTTTTCAGGTCCTCCGAAGCTGGAAAGCAATGTTACCAAGAAAGATGCTACTCTTGCTTAAGCAGGAGCTTTTTTCAGAGGAACAACGGTGATACATAGTTTATATCTGACGTTTTGTTGATTAGGCAAAAGTCTGGTGCAGAGGTGAATTCAGAGAAGATTCTGTTATGTCTTTGTTTATAACTATTTGGCTTTATTTTTGACTTCTACAAACTTAACTATTTATTTGATTTTTTTCAATTGGTTAACATCTGAGTATGCCTGTAACTTTGAGAGGACAAGTATAACCAAGATTGATGATTTGCCAAATAATTCATTGGTTCTTTCATAAGTATTAATGTCAAGATTCTTTACTCCATTATTAAAGCCATAAACGAATGTGTATTTATTTAAATACAATTAAGATTTGTTGCTGATGCCAAAGTAAGCTAAAACATAGAACCAGTACTTACACTTAATGGGTTATTTTATAAGATTAAATAATAAAGGGATCAATGTGGAAATAAAAAGAAATGAAAGGGCCTGTAAGCCTTTTAGGGATTCTAGGGCTTTCCTTCATTGGTCGGATCAGACGACGTTTTACATCTTCTTCCTCCTTTTCTTCTTCTTCTTTCGCATTCGACAGTGTGTATTTTGGGGGTGAAATTGTGAGCAAAGAGCGAGAAAATGAGCGGAGCCGGTAAGAAAATCGCGGATGTGGCTTTCAAAGCTTCACGGACGATCGATTGGGATGGTATGGCTAAGGTCCTTGTCACCGATGAGGCTCGTAGAGAGTTCTCTAACCTCCGTCGTGCTTTCGATGAGGTTAACACGCAGCTCCAGACCAAGTTCAGTCAGGTTTTTCTCTCGATTTACCTTGTCTTGATCTGATTTTTGTCACTGCTGGGTTTTGGCATTTTTAGATCTTTTGACATTTTAGTATTCTGGATCAGGTGATTCATTCTCGATTTTTTTACGTTTTCAGATTTTTTTGGTGACACTCGCTTTTCTATTTTGTTGTTGTTGTTGCTGTTGCTGTTGTTCCCATAGTTGAATATTTTGTTTAAGATCTATTTCCTTAAGATGTAATTCATCAGTGAACATTGTGATTTACCTTTGTGTTATTGCTCATTTGCATATGAAATGTGGAGCTGTGTCTAGGAACACATTATTGTTGATCATGTTCTATTGGATAGAGCCTAGCTCTTTCATGTACCCTGATAAGTTCTACCTACATGCCTTAGTTCTTGTTTTATGTCTTGGTTTGTGGAGTGAATTATCTTTTTGGTTGATTTTAATCCAGGAACCTGAACCCATAGATTGGGATTTCTACAGAAAGGGTATTGGGGCAGGCATTGTGGACATGTACAAGGAAGCTTATGACAGTAAGTTTTATCTTTTTCTGCAAATCTTAATGTTGAATAGACGGTGTCTTCTTGTTAAACTTGTTAGCGTTTGGATGGTCTTGAATATCATTGCTGTTTGCAAAAAAAGCTTTTCCTTTTATAGTTTATCTAGTTTGTTTGTCAAGCGGAAGACTATTACTTCCCTTTATTCGATTCTCAAACCTGACTAGAAAGTTTTGAGATATATCTGCTCTGTAGTGTGGCTGAAACTGAAGTTCCCTTATTCTTTATTTTCTCATTTGGTTTGTGGAATTGTAGTCATATACCAAGGGAGACTATAAGAAACTAAGTTGTATCCTTCATTGCTGTTATCTGTTTGCTGCAGGCGTTGAGATTCCCAAGTTCGTTGATACTGTCACTCCTGAATACAAGCCAAAGTTTGATGCTTTGGTGAGCAAATACCTGAGAAACTCGACTGCTTATGTTTGTTTTCTTATAAGTTTCCCTTCTATAAGCTCTTTCAGTTAACTCAGTGGATGTTGTGTGCTTTGCTTCATGCTATATTTAGTTGGTGGAACTGAAAGAAGCAGAACAAAAATCGCTGAAGGAGTCTGAACGATTGGAGAAAGAAATTGCTGATGTCCAAGAGATTAGCGTAAGTACCCCCAAGAAACGAATCCTCTTAAAAGGAAAATTTAATTTACTGTGTAAATTGTTTGAACTCGAGATTCTGATATAATGATCATCTTATCTATGTGTTGGTGTAATCAGAAAAAGCTCAGCACCATGACTGCAGACGAGTACTTTGAGAAGCACCCAGAACTCAAAAAGAAGTTTGATGACGAAATCCGTAATGACTACTGGGGATACTGATCATGTTTCTTCTGTATCTCCGGCCTGGAAAAAACCACTCTCTTTTCTTTCTCTCTCTTCTCTTACTGTGATTTTGTGAGCCAATCATAACAATAATAAGGACACCACCATTCACTTAAGCAGTGTTGAGATCTTTCATTGGAGATCCAGTGATGATAAACCGATTTGGTTTTTAGTTATCAATTTCATATATTGTTTTGTTTTCATTCTACAGTAAATAATAAGAGTGAAAAGATGTCCTCAGTTTTATCTTTGTCCGAGTGTTCTTGCATTTCCTCTCGTAGTTAACAAGATGGTTAACATTATGGGTTTAACAGATACCAAAAATTAGTCAATTCTTCGGTTATCCTGTAACCAATTCGCGAATTCGGTACATATGTAAACGAAGTACGAAGACAAATCTGAACCAAGTCTGGTATTCAAATTTTAAAGAGTTGATAAGTGTGTCTTCGGTTCACCTCGAACCGGAGACAGAAAGTTAGAAACACACCCAGATTAAGATTTCCTAAAACACTGGAACTAATCCTTTTATTCCAGACACAACAAAAATGCCAAATTCCGCAATTAGCTTGAATCAATTTCAAAAACATGGAACTTCGATACACATTGTAGCGCGTGTAAGAGGTCGTATGCTTCTAGCTCAAGTCGAGAGCTTACTTCGGTTAACAAAGGTGAGTGAGATCTTCGATTCTGTACCATCCGTTGAAAACTCGTAGTATAATCGATTGCTGCTACATGTAATTTTTTCAAGCTTATTAGTCTCTGTAAGGTTTCCACATCTTCTAAGTAATCCATGTCGGAAAAAAAATATCGTGTAGGTCTATTCTGGTGCTTTGTGATTGTCTATCTGAAATGATTTCCAAATCTGCAGATGGTAATGAGTAGTTTGTATTCGGATAGGAGCAGAAGCAATCATCATTTATGACACTTGTCCAAGAAATATCTGGAAATCTAGGCCAGGGTGAAATATCTGGTAAGAAACTGAAGCTACTTTTTTGCTTTTTATAATGTAGAGAGTTCAATAAGTTACTGCTTGTAGTTGTCTGATAATTACTCGCAAAACCAATATTGATTAAGCAATGTGCTTAGAGCATAATGCTTAATAGTTAAGTGGATATACGAATCTTTATTGGTCTAAAAGAATCAAGATCCACGTGCTCTTCTTCTCCTACCCTCTTTGTTGAACCGAAAGCCAGGTTTTGGCCTATTGCTAATAATTGTATTTCAAACAAGATAGGGAGATAAGACCAATTTCTTCTTTAAAGCAAAACGTGTATCTGTAAAATGCATGAGCCAGATATTAGCTCCTAGTCTCATGTCTATCACGTGTCTTAGGCCAGCATGTATATATCAATCCAATTTTTGAGGTATATACCGTATATTCGTATAACTTTCTCGTTCCCAACTCTATAAATAGGTGATGTGTGTGTGTGTCCAAGCTCCAAACAAAACTATACTGCAGGGAGCTTCCCAAAACCTCAACACAAGGTAAGTTGTAACCCTTTTTAATGAGACTTTAAGCTCAATTTAATAGTTCAACAAAAAAGATCAGTTCTTTTGACCTTTGATTCTCTAACAACTGTAGGGAAACAAGATGGAATTGGGGACCTCATCATCTTCATCAGGCTTGGTCAAGGCCAAATCTGAGACACTCGCAGCAGCTCTTGAGTCTAGTTCACTTGATTTCAGCAATGATGGTGGTAGCAGCCATGGGAGCAAGCAGCATGTGATGGCAAGGACATTGTCATCGCCGAGCCACAGTAGCAGCAGCAAAAACAGAAGGAACACTCACATAAGGAAGTCCAAGAGTGCACACCCTGCTCTTGACCATGGTGGTCTCACTGGTGGTGCTGCTCTTAGCCGAGCCTCCAGTGCTTCCCTTGGAATTTCCTTCTCTTTCACTGGCTTCACCGTGCCACAGGAAGAGATGATTGCTTCAGAACGATGTAGCAACGAAGATATCTGTAAGAAAACCATTTTAATACAGCACCTGATTGAAATCTTGATGTTAACTTTGGAGTTTATTGGTTCTTGCTCCTCTATCCTTCATGTTTCAGTGGAAGAAAGTGAAGCAGCAACCAGTAGTGTGAGCAAGTTTCAGGCAGAACCAACCTTTCCGATATATCTGAAGGTAACCCATTTCCATGGATAGATTATTTTATGGGAAACATGGAAATTGATCGTTGTGATATCTCTATTTGAGCGCAGGCACTGATGGAGATATGTAATTAAACCATCAACACCCAAAAGTCCATAGAAATATATTAAATTTTGCTGCCATTGGTCAGTCCAAACTTCAATGCGTCTGTTGTATGATTGTATCTCATTTTATGTTTCCTAAACAAGAATTCGCCATTTCTCCCATAATGAAGAAATCCCTAAATTTTACAAGTAGAATAATCTTCATCATTGCATTAAGACATTGGAAACCTCAGTTTACCTTTTTTGTTGGTATAACTTTGGTGCCCAAAAGTCAAGCTTAGGAGGCTCAACTACCATTTGCTGGTTATCGGCAACATGTGAAGCAGAGCTTCACGCTGGACCAAAAGGGTATGGTTATATTGGCATTGTCTTGTATAAATCAGAGAGAATTTAAGTCATATTTCAGTGGAAAAATAATGGTTTTCTTGAGAATTCAGGCAAATAGGAACTTTTGCCTGCAAAACTTACTGACCAAATCAATTTCTTTTATGTGCTATGCAGTTCATAGATATCACATACAAGGTAACGAAGAAAAGAATGGCATCTTCATCAGAAAAGAGCATCTTGAATGGGATTAGTGGTTCAGCATATCCAGGGGAGCTTCTAGCTCTCATGGGACCTTCTGGAAGTGGCAAAACTACACTACTCAATGTGCTTGGCGGCAGATTTAATCAGCAAAATATCGGTGGGTTGGTTAGCTACAATGATAAGCCATATTTTAAACACTTGAAAACAAGGTAGTTAAAAGATTCCAGCTTGGTCTTTTGATGATTATGTAGATGCATATATAAGTGTACAGTTGACACGGGAAAGCAACATGGCAGGATTGGATTTGTGACTCAAGATGATGTTCTGTTCCCTCACTTAACTGTAAAAGAGACACTGACCTACACAGCTCGTTTACGTCTTCCTAAAACTCTTACCACGCAGGAGAAGGAACAAAGAGCTGTTAGTGTGATACAAGAGCTTGGATTGGAAAGGTACATTATCATCTACTACTACCGTCTAAGAACTTAGGAACTTCCTTTTATGGTAAAGCTAAGTCTTGAGAAAGGAATCTAATTAAACGATGTGACTATTATTGTTTAGGTGCCAAGACACAATGATCGGAGGGTCATTTGTGTGTGGTGTCTCAGGTGGGGAGAGGAAAAGAGTTTGTATTGGGAATGAGATCATGAATAATCCTTCACTTCTTCTCCTTGATGAACCCACCTCTAGTCTGGACTCTACTACTGCTCTAAAGATTGTTCAGATGCTACAAAGTATAGCAAAGGTTAGACATCTACTCTTTACAGCTTCAAATTCTTTTTTGGTCTGGATTTGACGATTGACCATATCCAAGTTCTTATCTGCTGGCATGCAGGCAGGGAAAACTGTTGTAACAACAATTCACCAACCATCAAGCAGGCTCTTTCACAGATTTGACAAGTTGGTTGTACTCAGCAGAGGAAGCTTGCTTTACTTTGGGAAAGCATCAGAAGCTATGCCTTATTTCTCTTCCATAGGATGTTCTCCTCTATTCGCAATGAACCCAGCAGAGTTCTTGCTGGACTTAGCTAATGGAAACATGAACGATATCTCCACACCCTCAGCTCTTAAAGAAAAAATGAAGATGGGAAATTCTTTCAGCGAGATAAGGTCTTCTAAGCCAACTCCTACAGTTGTATATGAGGTGAGACAATGATGAGATACCTTTACATACCAAGATAATTCAAACTACAGCGATTAAAAAATAAAATACTTATAAAGCTATATATAATAATGTTAACTGTAATGTTGATGTGGAAACACAGTATCTTGAGGAAGCTTACAAGACAAAGATTGCTGTCGTAGAAAAGAAGAAACTTGTGGCACCAGTTCCACTTGACGAAGAAGTTAAATTGATGATAACTTGCCCCAAGCGAGAATGGGGATTAAGCTGGTGGGAACAGTATTGTTTACTTTCTTTAAGAGGAATCAAAGAACGAAGACATGACTATTTCAGCTGGTTGAGAGTCACGCAAGTTCTCTCCACTGCCATCATCTTAGGTTCACTCTGGTGGCAATCAGATATTCAGCATCCCAAAGGCCTTCAAGATCAGGTATAGTACATGTTAATGGTCTCGAAATTAGCTGTAATTGATCATCTCTTATCTTGAAAATGGAACTCCCTCTGCATCTCAGGTAGGGCTACTGTTCTTCATTGCCGTATTCTGGGGATTTTTTCCTGTATTCACAGCGATCTTCACTTTTCCTCAAGAGAGAGCAATGCTGAGCAAGGAACGAGAGTCAAATATGTATAGATTAAGTGCATATTTTGTGGCTAGAACCACAAGCGACCTGCCGCTTGACTTGATATTACCTGTGTTTTTCCTAGTTGTTGTATATTTCATGGCTGGATTGAGATTAAGTGCTAAATCCTTTTTCCTAAGCGTGCTCACGGTGTTCCTATGCATCGTTGCAGCTCAGGTATGTCCATAAAAACAAAGGACATGATGAACAGAAATGTTAACAACTAATGATGAAAATGTTGTTTTAGGGACTTGGATTAGCTATAGGGGCAAGCTTAATGGACTTGAAGAAGGCCACAACTTTAGCATCAGTAACTGTAATGACTTTCATGCTCGCTGGTGGCTACTTTGTGAAGGTAAAAGTATTCAGCTTTCAATTTGAAGTTAAAAACTTTCTGGTACATTCTGATTATTTCAATATTATAAAACAGGTTTGGACAAGATACTATATTATTCCACATTCAGACATATTCAAAACTTCTACTTACGATGAGAAGTTTGCCTCTAATTAAGCCTTGTCGTTCATACATAGAGGAGTTTTTTCAACTCTAATGTGTTAATTGACACTCTTTTTTTTTTTTTTTTTTACTTTGGCAGAAAGTTCCAAATTTCATCGCTTGGATACGTTTCATGTCATTCAACTACCACACATACAAGCTCCTTGTGAAGGTACAATATGAAGAAATCATGAAAAACGTAAATGGGGAAGAAATTGAGAGTGGGGTTAAGGAAGTGAGCGCTCTCGTAGCTATGATCGTAGGCTACCGTCTCTTAGCCTACCTTTCTCTTCGAAGGATGAAGCTCCACTCTTCAACTTAAGTTTAGATCGATACAAAAAGTCATTTGATATTGTCCATGTGTACTTTGTATTGTCGTGCTTGCTTGTATATACATATCTTCCCCTTACTATATTTAGGTTTCCAAATTCATGATGTTCTCAATATCATACCAAAAAGTTCCCGGCAACATGACATTGGTCATCTTAAAGCTAGTAAGTAGTGATGTCAAACATTGTGATCTCTCAGTAAGGTTAACCAACTAACATTTAGCCCTTACCAACTTCGTACTTGGCTAAGATTTAAACCAACAACACACAATTTCTTACTTGGGCCTAATATAACTAAGTATCCAAAGAACACTAACTATTAAGTATTAAATACCACAAACCTTAAGTGGGCTTAACTCCAGCCCATCACTTTCCTTTTTTTTTCTTCTTTCTTCTCTGTTTTAGAGTTGTTTCTCCGACAAGTAACAAAAAAAAGAAACACACAAACATGAGATCTTGTCGAGTAATTCAAAGATGGATCTGATGACAAAAAAAAAAAATTAAAAGATGGATCTAACTGATTGGTCTGATTTAGCTGAAGAACTCTTCGAATTTACTGCAAACCGCTTATCCTCCAACATCGATGTCCTTAGTATCCGTAGCATCTGCAAATCTTGGCGCTCGGCGGTTATAATTTTCTATTCATGCAATAATTATAATTTTTTATTCTTTCCTTTTCCTTATTTTCTTGCAAATTTTTATTAGCATGTTCTACTTATGTTAATATACTTAAAATTATAACTTTTGCATGAAAGACTTGTTTAACCGTCCATCAAAGTTAAAAAGAGATACAAGAATCTTCTAAAGAGGGAATCGACAACGTGGAAATCCTGAACGCGGGAATTATGGACGCGAAAACCGTGGACATGGCTAGTTTTCCTCTTATGCTGATCTAATTAATCAATCGAAACGTAAAAAACTGTTAAGGCATCCTTAACTATGGTATCTTAGTAAATATCTTAGCTTAAGATTTGTGAAAAAATGTATCTTATATAAATATGTATGTAATATTGGTATATGTATGTATTGTTATATACATACTTATTTAAGATATGATGCATCATAGGTCATAGCTAAATAAAATAATGCATAAGTTTTGTATGGAAAAATGAAACTGTATGATGCATAAGTTTTTTTATGGAAAATATAATAATAAAAAATAAAATTATGAACTGTATTTTTCTTTCAATGGTGTCCACCGGCCACATATTCCCAAGGGTATATTCCAGTAATTAAAGTAATTACAATGCTTTAAGAAATTGCCCACAAGATTTAGACACAATTATCAAGGCTCATCAAAATTATATACACTAACTATCTTTAAAGAAATCTAAAGTTTCGAACTTTGTCTAATAAAAGAAAAAGTAATGGCAAATTTTAAGACTTGGGAGGTGAAAAGACCCAATCTTGATACTCTGAACTAAACAGAAACGAACAAGAGAGAAACAAATATTCTTTCCTCTTTTAATGCTCGAAAGATCCTGACCGTTGATCCTGGCTTTATGGGTGGATGGGGCGGCATTAACTACGTGGTCCTTGAACTATCGCTGTATGTCCAACACGCGGAATAGTGTGTGTGAGTGTTATTCTCCTTCTTCCTCTTCTTCTTCCCCAGAAAAGAAATATAAAAATAGAACCTTTTCTAGTTTCTCTCAACTTGCAGAAGAAGAAGCGATTTACACAAGGTTTTGCTGATTCCTTCTCACTCTTCTCTTCACTTGTAAAATCTCTCTAGAAACGTTTTGATGGGAATTTCATGTTGCTTTGATGCTTGGAATTGATATCAAGATCGATTTTGTTTTTAATCTGTTACTTCATTGAACTTGGTTTAGTTATGAGTTATAGAATCTACATTTCATCTCAAGCTGTAGATAGAATCTTTTCCTGCTCCTTATCTACTTTTGTTTTGCCCTCTCTTTACCAATTGTTTGAATGTTAAAGAACTAAACCCATATGCCAAAAACTCTCTAAACATTACGGAAACCATTTAATCTCACTATAGCACTAATAGAGATTTCATTCGAAAGTGACTTCTTTTGCCTCTGTTCCCATTTACAGGACATAATTTTATAGTAACTATGGAGCGGCTGGTTTCTCATCCTCCTCTCATGATTGTCTCAGACCTTGATCATACCATGGTAGGAGCTGGTTCTGTAACTCTCTTTTTTTTTCTTCAGCCAAATTTAAGTAAAGAGGATTCTTGATGCGATTTCACGCTTTGACAGGTTGATCATCAAGATCATGAGAATCTATCTCTTCTCAGGTTCAATTCATTGTGGGAGGATGCTTATCGCCGTGACTCTCTTCTTGTCTTCTCTACTGCAAGATCACCAATTCTTTACAAAGAATTGAGAAAAGAGAAACCTCTGTTGACCCCTGATATCATCATTACCTCAATAGGAACCGAGATAGCATTTGGTAACTCCATGGTTCCTGATCATGCTTGGGTTGAAACTTTGAACAGCGATAAATGGAACCGGGAAATAGTCTTGGAAGAAACCAAAAAGTTCCCTGAGTTAACTCTTCAGCCAAAAACTGAGCAGAGGCTTCACAAGGTCAGCTTTTACATTGATGAAGGTAAAGGTGAGGCATTGACCAAGGAACTATCACAATTGCTGGAGAAACGTGGCGTTAAGTGTTTACTTATATCTTTCATGTTTCGTTTTCTTGTGGGATCTTTGTTAACTTGAAAGTTGAAACCAATTTTTTTTGTGACGATTGTAGTAATGTCTTTACTCTTTCAGTTGGATGTCAAGATCATTTACAGTTGGGGAAAGAATGTGGATGTTATACCGCGAGGTGCAGGTAAAGGAGAAGCCCTCGAGTATCTGCTCAAGAAGCTGCAGGGTGAAGGAATATTTCCAGTCAATACTCTTGCTTGCGGTGACTCTGAACATGATGCTGAACTATTTAGCATTCCTGATGTTCACGGTGTTATGGTAATGTTCACTCATCAATCATCACAATCTCTCCATTCTTAACAAAAATCTGACTGGTTTTTGGCAATGTGATTTGCGAAGGTGAGCAATTCCCAAGAAGAGCTATTGAAGTGGCGTTCTGAAAATGCTTTGCACAATCCAAAGGTTATACATTCGACAGAGAGGTGTGCGGATGGGATTATTCAAGCCATTGGTCATTTTAAGCTTGGTCCACACATTTCTCCAAGAGATGTTTCTGAATATTTGAATCGCAAGACGGATATTTCGAATCCTGGTCAAGAGGTTGTGAGATTTTACTTGTTCTACGAGAGATTGAGACGCGGTGAGATCAAGAACTATGAGACATACATAGCCAGCTTCAAAGAGTCTTGTGTGAGTAACTTCAAAATGGAATCCATCTCTACGTCTTCCACCTGACTCATTCCTCTCAGTATCTTTTTCTTGAAACATTTTCAGCTCCAAGCTGCTATCTTTTTCCATCCATCCGGTGCAGAGAAATCTCTGAGAGACACCATTGATGAGCTCAGCAATTGTCATGGAGACAAAAGAGGGAAGAAGTTTTGGGTTTGGGTAGATCAGGTTCTGGTAATGGACACCACTCCTGGGAAATGGACAGTGAAGTTTAATAAGTGGGAACAATGCGGTAACATTCTTCTGCAATATGATATTTGATGTCTATGTGAGCCAGTCCAATGATTTTAGTAATTACATTGATCGTTTGTTACCTTTACCAGATGATGAACGTGAATGCTGCACAACGACTATCGAATTCACTTCGAAGGTATCATCAGATTCTCAAAGATGAGCTCGACCAAGTATCTTGAATGTATGGAAAATGAATTTGAAATTTCTGCAGGGAGGAGATTTGGAGTGGGAGAAGGTGGAGCAGATATGGTCAGAGGAATCAGACGTGAAGGATGATGATAACAGTTCTTGGATTCTCTAAATATTTTGGAGACTGTTCTTCTCTTTCACATGTCTGAATTGGTATGCACATTCTTCAAGATCTGTCTTCCCTTTCCCCATATAGGCATTATAAGTTTTTGAACGTTTCTTGGTAAATTTTAAAGAATAATAGTACTACTTTGGTAGGAGGTTTATGGGGAAAAAATATATATATTTATATTAAAATGAGGGCCCAACCGGGTTCGAACCGGTGACCTCTTGATCTGCAGTCAAATGCTCTACCACTGAGCTATGGACCCATTGTTGTACACCATGGCTATCTAAAACAATTTTATCTATAGATCATGGTCAAAAACTTTGTACTGTATATTCATAAGCTTTTGGAATATGTAAGGTAAATAAGAAAACCTAGTCATACTTATACATTATCATGCCAGAACTCCCTGCGGAAGGCTCTTTCAAATTCTTTTTCCGCTAAAAGTTTCTCGTGCTCTATCGTCTTCCGCAGTTTCTTGGATAGTTTCTTGCTCTTCTTTGATAATGCTTCAGAATCTGTATCCCGAGGCTTTGCCGCTTTTCTCTTGGCTGTTTTTTCAGAACCTAGTCCTTGTTTGTTATGTCTTGGCTCTGCTTGTAGAGGCACCAATATACCTTGCTCAGCGATACCAAGACCAGTACCTTCCTTCCATCCATGCTTTTTTAGGAGCTGAAAACCAATGTTAGAAGAATCAATAGCAGCCCATGAATCGCTTAATCTAGATGACTCACCCATAACGTTGGACACTTCACTATAGTGAGAAATTGTGTTTTCTGTTTTCTTCCACCTTCGTATACTTCCAATCCCCGTTTAGACCAGTACCTTCCTCGTAGGAGTGCTTCTGTAGGAGCTGAAGAACGGACGTTTCTCTCCGTCATAGAAGAAACAATTATTTTGGCAGAGTTAATTGAAACGAGGAACGTGAAACTCAAGCAATCGTGGAACAAAACAAGACTAGGAAATCCTAGAATTGACGAGATGAGCTAAACAAAATTGCGCAAAAAATAAAAAATCGCTTCGAGTAAAATTTTTAAAGAAGGCCTCGGCGTCTTTCTATATCCGAACTACACCGCCTCTGCCTTGCTTTTAACTTTTTTAAGTTTCAACCTTTTTCCAAATTTAGAATTCGAGTGATAGCAAATATATTTAGGTAAGAAATTAGGTCATTTAGTTTGAGAATTGTGAATGTAATGAACCGATGCTGCAATACACCTCAAACCAGAACATTTTTAGACTTGGAAACCGGTTCAACTAGTTGACAAAAATAAAACCGATTCAAATATTAGTTCAATATCTCTCTTTTTTTTTAATTTATCTAGCTGAAGGCTGAAGCCACACACACACACACACAAAATTCAATTATATTTTTGTGTGTCATATACTCATACTATATATTAAAGAAAAGTTAAATTAATTTTCTCTGGTTCATATATTTTTACGAAGCAGACAAGTTTTTCAGAAAAAGAAAAAAAAAGAAAAAAAAAAAAAAAAGAAAAGGAAAAAATCAGACCGAACCCACCACATGTCAGTAAACCCGTTGATAGAGGTTGTTGGAACCACATCTCTCAAAAACAAAAACAAAACCAAACCATATCTCTCTCTGTCTTGGGGTGCTTTTATTTTATGTTATCCTTTTGAATTTTTGTTGTGAAAATTATAGTTGATAATTTTTTGAAATAGAAACATTGCTGACCTTCTCTCATTGGACAAAAATATGAAAATTATATCATTCTATATGTGGACTTGCCAGTTATAGACTTTAATATTGTATATATCTGAGTTAATTACGAGATCGGTATTTAATCGGATGGGTATTGTCTAATACGGCATTTTTGTCCGTCCTTCTAGATATAGGCATTTTTCTATATAGTAGAATTACATATCTAGCCTTCTGTTTGCTCTTCCTCTTCTAGACCATCCTCCGATTGCATCGACGCTTCTAAACTCTCTCTCTCTCTCTCTCTCAGCTTTTGCGATGGGTGATGACGAATCTCAATTCTCTCTCGTCACTATGCCCTCCGGTAAAAGGATTTTTACTACGGCTTCCGAATTTGTGAACTCGATTCTGAAAAGAACATGATGATTATGACCTCCATCATTCACGGCGAAGCTAATCCTGCAATTCCCAAGGTATGTGAACGCTTTTGATTTTATATTTTGTCTTTATGTGTTTGTGCTTTGTTGATGGAGAAGCCTACATGCCATCTCAAAAAATTCAGATCTATGCTTGTTAGGTCCTCTTCCTCGACGAAGTCGGAGTTTAATTTCCATCATTTGTTGATGATTTTTTTCTGCTTTTTTGGCCGCTGTTTCTTCTCTTAGGAGGTCTGTTC